GAATGTGAGGTCCTCTGCAAGGCACTGACCACCATTTTCGAATATACCTGGAAGGAAAAGAGTGTCCCGGCTGACTGGAGTGAATCAATTATAGTGGCAATATACAAGAAGGGCAGTCGCACCGACTGTTCTAACCACAGGGGTATTAGCCTAACGCCAGTTGTGACAAAATTACGGGCCTCGATTCTCATTCGTCACCTCATTGTGGGAAGGGAATCTCGGATTAGGGAAGAGCAGGCAGGTTTCCGCCCAGGACGCAGCCATATAGACCACGCATACCACAGACCGACAATAGCCATGGTCCCCGACTTCAAGAATGCGTTCAATTCGGTAGATCGATGCATTCTATTCGGAAGACTTGTGCGTAAAGGTGTTCCCAAGAAATAGGTGAACATCTTGCGTGCTACATACTCGAACATTACAGGCCGCGTCAGGGTCTACGGTGACCTGTCGGATAGCTTTTCAACAATAAGTGGTGTTCGTCAGGGTTGTCCGATTTCCCCATTTTTGTTTAATTTCATCGTTGACTCCATCGTGGAGTCTTCTCTCAAGGAATCTCATGATGTAGGTCTCGAGGTCCTGCCAAGTGAAAATTTAGTTGATCGTGGTTATGCAGACGATACCGTCTTGCTGTTCAACGATGTTGTGGCGGCAAAATCAACTCTGAATAGTCTTTCTAGAGTGGGTCCATTATTTGGTATGTGTGCTTTGCACCTTCAAAGTGCAAAGCGCTATTATAGGACCACCAGCCCATTGATGACTCCATGAAGTTTGATGCCGAGGAACTCGAGCTGGTTGATCACTTCACCTAATTTGGAAGCTGCATCGGCAACGATGGGCACATAACAACTGAAATCAGTTCATGCATTGAAAAGACTTCCTTTGAATCTGAGGCATCTTTGGCGACAGGAGGGAGTTTCTCTCCGTCTGAAAGGCCTTATTTACAAGGCCACCGTGAGGGCCATCTTACTCTATGGGAGTGAGAATCGGCCCCTTTGGTCTGAAGATCTGAGATGCCTTCAAACCTTCGATCATCGTTGTCTGCAGAACACTGCTGGTGTCCCATGGCACCAGCGTGTCCGCAGCGATATAAGTAGACGAGTACTAGACAGTGATAACCAAGCTAGCTCCTTAGAACTACAGATAGCACTGATTAAGTTGCGGTGCCTTGGGCATGTACTACGTATGCCTAGCCACCGCTTACCTAGGAGGACGTTGTTTAGTTTGCCAGATGTAGGATGGCGTAGGGCTCGAGGTGGACAAAAGTTGGCTTGGCAGCGTGAAATGAAGTCACTGAAGACCAAACGCGGTGCCGTCGGTCCGTCCCGCCTTCCAGGCCGTAGTCCACGTGACCCGCCTTGTGCTTGGCTCGAGACTTTACAGGACATGACTCGTAATCGACACCAGTGGGGTGTCTGCCGCCGTCTCCTAGTCGGACGTGTGTTTGGTGCTGAGTTATCTGGGGTTGACGGCTGACTATGACGCGGGACAGTGAAAGCCGCAAGGAAGCTGTCTCGCCGATGCCGCCTTATCTTTGCACGATAGCCAGGTTTTTGTGACGGTATGTTGTCTACACAAGGTGTAGGCGCCTTGACTCTGAATGTTTGCATAGGGTATTAAGGTATTCCGGTAATTCCCTTTCTCACCCTTTTATTATTCTTTGTTCCATAGGTCATCATGGTTGTATGGCTGCAAAGCATCGGTTCAAGTGGCTGATGTACTGCTGTTGTTGATTGTTTGACCTGAATGACCAAGAAAACCAAACCGTAACGTGCCAATAGCGAACCATACAAGCATCCTAGTAGAAGAACGAGTGAGAACCGCAGATATATGTGTACTCAAAATGTTTAAAGAAACAGGGTGTGCCACGCATTAAGCGGATTGGTGGAACTTTTGTAGTCAGAGTCGATGCATATAGTTGCTGACATTTGTCAGAATAGACAGTTCCGTTTGCCCCTTATAAGCAGGCGGAGAAGAACTGGATCAAGCCTAAATATTAAATGCACTAATTAGACGTTCGGAATCAAGCAGTTCACATCTCCCACCAAAAAAGCACGCAGCCTCAAACGGCCGGCCATCATGCTAAAATGAGGCAGTACCACTGAAACAGCTTCTTTACGACTTTCGCAGTTCCACACAAAATCAATCGCACGCTATAGATGACCCACGATCCGGCACACTGCTCAAATGTACTAACTATATTATCGTCAGCAACTACCATTTTTGAACATCATGGTCGGACACGCGGAGGCCATCAGATACCAACGATGCTTCTCAGGCAGAATCGAAGACGGCAGCCCGAATGAGTCAATTTTCACTACTATAAAGCCGAATAGCCATCATTGCGTTCGTGTAGACACAATGTTTCGGAGATGGGGAAAGGCCTCTTTTGGCACACAGATTAGGGGACGGTTTTTCAGTGGTAGTCGTACGTGAGCTAGCGTCAACAGCCACGTATTCATCCCCGGCAATTTAGCAACCTACATGAGCTACCAGCCGGACAACTTACGCCAGATCCTTGTCGTTAGGGGTCAATTAATGAATGCAACACCCTGCTTTGGGGACGGGGAACGCATACACTTGACGGGATCGCCTTGGGTACATACACAGGGGTGACTGTGTCCCTTTACAGTATGAACACAGCAAGAGGATATCGTCCATCCATGTAACAGGATTTCATCAATTTCGCTGCGGAGAAACATCGAAAGCCATCAATTTCACGTGGAGAATATCAGGATACTAGGTAGAGAAGATGCCGGAAAGTCTGGCACATGAGGCAGAATTTAATCAATAGAGAAGCAAGAGACTGCCTACGAAGCGCAGTGAGTCGAATCAAACCTGCCTAAGGTCAACAGAGCAAATGAGGTCACTAAAAGTAAACCCTTGACCTTTGACCAGACAATAGGTCTGCCAACACACAGGAGTCTGTGTGTTTTGACCAAACTTGGAAATAGGTGGTGGCTGGGTTGGAGGGGGGGGGGGCGGGACGGGGGCCAATCTTACAAAGCTTGTGTAACCGGCAAATGCAATCGTCCATGGCAATGAATGCGAAGATGGCTAATGGAACGCCCGTAATTTCGCATGTAGACAATGTCAAGACCGCATGCGTTCACTTTAGAACCATTGCCCCAAGCGGTGTGAAGGGTTTCGAAGCGGATGGAGATTTGGTGTTACCCGCCCCAAAACACTGCAGTGACTTCGAAGTGCTTGCAGAATGAAGTAAGAGCAGGGCAACCGGACGAGAAAATACGCGAACAGCCGCATCATCGGAATTAGGTGGCTCGTGAAGAGTACTGTGGTCAGCAACTATGAAGTGTATGCAAGATGGTAATGTGTGAAGCAGGCCGAATCGAGTCGGATGATGAGCATTCATAATGTGGATGCACTGCGCGGTAAATATGAAATTTCGGAGGCAATTGTCGCTCAAAATCACTTGCGTAACGGTAGTCTCAATTCCGGCTACGAAGGCCACTGTGAGGCCATTCAGGTTGACAGTCGACGCTCCAATCAGCCGCCTCAGTGGTATATACAGAAAAGCGGAAGAAAAATACTGCGTGCAATTAAGCTATCGTACAGCAAAGAAATGTCACAATAGCAGTGATAATGTGCGACATCAAACGTCGCTTCCGAGGACTGGCTGGGTCCAATGAATCACAGCAAAACTCCATACGGAATAAGCAACCGATCTGCTCAGCACAGCAAACCATTATCGCTTCCGTCAAACTCAAGTAGCTAGGCAAAGAGTATCATGGAGATAACCGGTAATCCAGCAACTGTGTAATTTGTGATGCCGAAAAATTGCCAAAGATGTTCAGATCGCAGAGGTCTCACAAACGATGCGGCGAATATGGGACCATTCTCTGTAGCGGTCGTGTGACACCTAGCCAAGTCGACATGCAGTATGCAAAAACTTGAACGCTTAGAATAACAGTCATAGTTGTGTCGTTTTAAAGGGCATATACGTGCGCAACAATAAAAAGACCCTTAGAAAAGAGGCACTCGCCCAGCATTTTTCAAGTGTGCAGTGAACTGAAACTGCGGTGAAAAAGTGGGCCCCGGTGACATTCAGCAAATGTTTGTTTAGGATAATGTTTCAGTATCGAGCCGGAATTCGTGCATACATCTTCGTAAGTCAAAACACAAGAGTGTCAATACGGGATAAAAACAGTAACTAATGGCAGGCAAAGGAGGAGTTTTTCACAAGATGACAATCTGTATATAGCACAAAATGCGTGTGACTGTAGGCTGCGGATTGACTTACAATGTTAAGGTGCGAAAATATCCGATGAAATGATAGTTTTGACTAAGCAACATGCGAAAATGACTTAACTAACGCAGTGAACAGAGACGGCTTGAATGATGCCCAAGAATGTACATAGTTTGGTCACAAGGTGCGAGCAACTTGGCCCACATTCGGGTACTTGAGTTCGCTTACGAATGGGAACCCAAAGCAAATCGCGGATGTGTAGAGACGAAGTAACGGCCGGGGCCGACGGAATAGTATGCATAGAGGCGGAAGCCCAAAATGCGGTTGAGTCAGTCTGGCCGTTCGGTTTCTGTACTATTGCTTTGTCGCTTGAGATGGACTCTCTCACAGGAGGGTTCAGAAGCTCCTCGCTCGTTTGCGAGAGCACGATGGATAGATTGACTGACAAACGTATCCGAACACACTAATGGGAAGAGATAAGTGTTGTTCAGAAAAAGACACCTGAATTACACGCATGAAGGAAACGAACACACTCGAGTAGCCATCGAAGAGACGAGTTGAAAACCGTTACTCTGCGGACCGAAACAGTCGCTGTGAACTAGAGACATAACGGACGAAAATGTGTTGAGGATAGATCACACATCAATTGCAATAATGTGACATACAAGCTACGTGAAAGTACTAGGCTGGTAAGATTATCGACGATAACCAATAAACCGACGAGTTGGAGGAAACAACAGGAAAAACAAATAATTCAAAGGAGGGTCATCCGCACAAAACAATTCCAACGTACTTTGTACTCGTTCCCTTGCCAGCGGTGCACTGTGAAGGCGGTGGCGGTCCAGAGGCACTGGAGGAAACAAGCTCCTTGCGCGCCTTGCGCGAATGCTGTCGAGCTGACAATTGTTGCTCCAAAGCGACACGCTGTTTGCGCTCTTCGGCTAGTTGTTTTTCCGCAGCCTGCAAGTTGCTTCGATCCGTCTGCGATTGGGGGAGGGGGGGGGGGGGGTAAAAATGAGCCACAATGACACAATCGACACGCATACACGTACATAGAACCGGCGCCGATGGGAAACGCACACATGGGGGGCGATAGGTTGACAGCTCTGCGGTAAACATCTGAGATAGAAAGGCTCAGTGTTCCAAGCCAATTTCAACTCTCAGACAAACGTCCCCAGTGTGGACGACGATTCCATGTACGAGCAGGCGTGAAACGAAGGGGGAATGTGGAGACACCCAGACATTGTTAGAAAACTGCTCCACATCGGTGAAGAGATAGAGAGAATGGAACGCCACAAAAGTACTGTGTTAATTGATTACTGAGCCTGCGAAAAGTATGTTAAACGGATGTCAATCAAAGCTGTCCCAAAAATCAGTCTGTGAAAAGCTATGCTGCTTTAGTTGTGACCGCATAGAATGGTTTGTGTTTCACCAACTCGAAACCACGAAAAAAGATAGGTGAGACAAGTAGCAAAGGGTTTAGAAACAAACACTAAACCATGAGAGAGGATTCTGTTGTCAACTCGTCTGTCTACCTAACTGTGGAGGTTTCGGCCTGGCCCGTCATTAATGGTCCTGAAAAGTTAGACGGGCTTGATGCTTTGCAGATCGGCCACTTGTCTTACTTGGAACTGTCCGCATTATCCAAGGGAGGCTTAAGGTTCAGGATGACCAGGATGAGAAACTGAGTTCACCAGCACAGAGCAATGAATATAACATTCGAGGGATAATCTGAACACTCAACACACACACACACACACACACAGAGTTGGAACTGCTTAAAATGATGCAAGAGGCAGAACGGGAAGAAAAGGTGTTTAAAATAAGAGTGGTGATATTAGACAAAGGTATTGCTATAGCACAGTAACAAAGGCGGGGGTTGAACAGATGACCACCGCCTGGCGGTACAACAACATACTCATCTCCAGCCCGCTAGCAATTCAACAATAGCGGGAATGTAGCCTCAATAAATGATACTGAAAAAATGTGGGTCAGTAATGGGAACGATAGAAACTAAGGGTCTATTGCGGCCTAACGCTTTACAGATTCTGTGAGAATTAATATCTCGCCGGACACATGAACTCTACGCGGATTTCGCTCTACATGCTGGACAAAACCTTTAAAGACGAAGAATGAACAAATATGGGTGGTATGCAAACAAAGAGCATCTGTGTCCAGATTCAGCTGTTTATCAAAGTTCACTACAGTCCGGTTAAACAATTTTGGTCCAGGCAACGAAGTACTGCAGATCCCGTTGTCTGGACTCACGTCACTAGACAATAGCAACAAAATAAGGTTGAACGCAAAGAGAATATAAAGGAAATGGAAACAAGATAGAAGTGCGTCAAAATAAACATGATGGAATGAAAATTAGCGACAAGATGCGAGAAACCGAAGTCAGGAACGCCAGTGGCTGCGCGACTGCACCATATCTGATAGGGTCTCTAAGCATTGGGATGGGTCATCACGAATTCATCCTACACGAAGACGGCACGCCGCTGACTGATCAAATCTCTAGCAATTCATCCATACCTCTATGCCACGTCATCGACCCGTCACCCCGCGCTTTCGTCCAACTTGGTGCAGCGACGGAGTATAATTGGTGTCGAAGACGGGCACCGAGCATAGGAGGATATGACCTAGTGAACGTAAGCGGCTAAGCTCAAACAAACACTCCAGTGAGGCACGAGAAGGCTTCTTGCCAAAAACCAAGTGGTGGACCTCACCTAGCGGTGGACATTTCTAAATGGTCCAAACGTTTGTCAGGTTCATAGCAACTGTTTCGCCGATGTAACGAACCATTGACCTACAACGCCGGCTATCACGTATAACGGGTACATGCTTCGATGTTTCCCCACTTTTCACAGGGCGGTAAGTCACCGCTGCGCATTGAGTAAGGAGCGAGTAATCATTACATGAACCTCCGTCCTTGGGACGCATGTCTGATCTGCGGTAGCCATGTAACAAAGGTTGCATGATTTGGAGCAGCGTGAACGGCAGGAGCGCAGGCGTATAATGCAGCTTTCATATAGTTCATCGCATAATGAAGTAGGACGCACCGACGGGCATAACATTGAAAGGAGGCTGCGGAAGTAACAGTGTACACATAATAAAGCCTGAGGGGGGAAGCAAGTGTGGAACCGAAAATACAATACTTACGTGTCGCAAAGGCGAATGTGACACCTGCGCGTTTCGCAAGGAAGCACGTGCCGGGATTACCCCGTAAAGAGAGAGTGCATGCACTATACGTCTCGGTGTGGTTGATGTAGTGCAGAATTACGTAAATGAACGCATAGGAAGGTTACTTTGCGCGGTGCGTTACTTCAGTTGTTCGCCGCACAGAAGAGAGCAAGTGTTACATGACGCAAGCACAGCGAACGCAAGACCGGCAAGCCTTCCATGTGCTTGATAACTAGTTCTGATGCCATGATGTCTTGTAGTTTTGATGCCGCTTGTGCTTACGGTGTTCCTGTGGAGCACCGTATTCATGGTGGGTTGCTGAACTTCCGTCGTTCCGGTACGAGAAGTGCATTCTGTGACACAAGTATCCGTATGCTGCTGTCTGCTCACGACTATGCATTGCTTGCAAACAGCGTGGATGACTTGCAGCACATTAGTGGTGCTTCGCCTTGGACGACGGCCGAAACGCCGCGCACCATCTACCCAAGCGAAACTGTCTGTCTGTGTCATTCTTCACCGTAGTTGGAATGGTCAATATTACGGCGATTTAGCTTCCGTGCATACGTATTGGAACGCACCTACAGTTTCACTTAACTTGTGAGTGCGATGTCCTATGATCAGCAGAAACACCTTGAGTTGTTTAATGCGCTGTCGAACGCAGCAGCGGCATTGGGGAAGTTTCCGTACGGAGTGGGGAACAACCATCAGCTTACTATTTGCACGAATCTGATGGTGTACAAATACATGGTACTGCCGGTACCTCTATACCGCAGGGATACGTGGACGATGTACCGTCGGTATGTGCGGTATCTCCAGCGGGTACATCCCCATTGTCTGCGACGAATTTTCTGGATCGGTAAGCATTCCACACGGATAACAAAGGCATTTCTATACCGTCTGCGGAGTATTTGGAAGCCGCAAGTGGGCCAACGGAACTTACCCAACCTGGACATGATGAAAGTGAGCCACAAACGTTTCATTCTAGATTGCAGAAAATCCCATTCCATAGCCGTTGATCGTCAAGCATGGTTGCATGCAATCACGAAGGCTGTTGCTGAAGTGCTGGAGGAAGCACTCAGACATGCACAGATTAAGCGGCAGTTGCGGAAGCTGCAAGCACCGATGAGTTGTACTCCATGGACATGGAGCGCAGCGTGGTGTAGAAAATGTGGTCCCGAGTGACTGAGTTAGGCAAGCGTACTGAGCCATGAAGAGGGGTCACTCAGGAACACTGCGTGAAATACACTTTCCTGCATCCTGCATCCTTCCCTCTCTGTCTGAAGTGTTTGCCAGTTAACATGAGAAAACAAAAACCACCTGGTGAGTAGTCGCTTTGCATTATTCTTCTTCAGATCGATACCATGATGTCGATAAGACCACCCATAATGGTCTTGGCCTCGCACTGCTGAGGAATAAAACGTTTATTTATTTATTTCTTTATATGGATGAGGTTACAAATTTAGATAGACATGCTTGATACAATTCCGTCGCGTAATAAATGCAACACCGGTTAATTAAAAGTTACGGGCATTCTGAACTTCTCACCATAGACCTCATTATCATCCGCTTTCGCGGGCCAGGGAATGTGACCAGCGTTAATGTAATTTCTGTTGAGAGCATAACCGTGGTCCGAATGATGGAATACAGATGGATTCCCGGTTATGAGTGTAAGGAGACCTGGAACCTTTGACGGATACGGCGGACATCCGTCTACTACTCTAAAGTTACCCTCCAGATGTACTTTATGTCCGCTGTCGACAATATGACCCAGGATAGAGCTACTAACGGCCGTTGTGCAACCTCCATGTAGCGAACGCGGACAGTGTTCGTTCATGCGTTTGGACAGCTGCGGCGTCGTCCAACCGATATACCATGCTGCACAAGGGCTTCGAAACTGATACATAACCATTGAGGCCGTGAGCATCGAAAGCTTATCCTTGGTTCCGGCGACAGTGCACACAAGGGAGAGAGGAAGTCTACGCCATCATTTTGGCGGCAGCACTTACGGTTAAACAGCATTAGCACGCTCCATGTACAGCGAAACAGTGGAGGTCGTAGCTAACGGGTACGTATACATGATTTCATTGTTGACCACGTTATATAGCAGCAAATGTAACATATTTTCCCAAATACCGGGACGTTAGTAAAGAGCGATACAACCTAGAAGGAGAGCAACAGTTTGCCGTCAATTTCACCAGTAGGTATGCATTCCAGGAATTGGAAGCTGTTGCGTATACTGTAAGTTGCACGCTGTTGTCGCACCGGTTTCAGTATTTACACAATCCACTGCACGAAGGTATGATAACGTCAGTTAAACATTGCTAACATGGGACGCAGTGTAACGGTCGCTTTGGGAAATTTATGCAGCCGGTAGATCCTTGGAACGTTTGTGCTACTAGGTTTGAAGCTGTCATGCAGGGCATCCCAAATATACCCTTCAGTCCGAAGTTCCTGCAGGCTCTTATTGATCTCAGTATCCATTTCTTTCGGGCAGTGCATTTCTGTGCTGCAAGAAAAAGTCGACCCATCGTTCAGTATACCTGCCAGTTCATTTATGTAGTCTTTTCTGTCTCATACCGAAATCCCCGCACCCTTGTCTGGTGCAGACATCATTAGTTCCTCATTACCTTTCCATTACTTCAAAGCATGTAGGTGCTTACGTGTTACTGGGCCGTGGTTATAAGCCGTATGTTGGCGATATTGCTAGCAGCAGTCTACCAAAACACACTTCAGACGTTCTAAATCAATGTTGGACTTATTGGTTAACCCGTTCGTGTGCTCGTATAACCTTTCTCATTGTGCCTCATATTGCAGCTGATTCGCTCTGCGTCTATGTATGCGAAACTTTACGCAAAGTGGCTCTT